TATGTTTAGAAACTTTGCTGTTTTAGAAGCAACTACTAATTCAAGATAATTCAAATTAAACTTGGAAGTTCCTCTGCAAGCTTACCATAGTGTGTGTTTTTAAAAGGAGCTACCTAAAATGTGAGAAATTTGAGTGTGAATTGGTCAGAAAGTAGATTTTTCAAAATCCCTTAAAAGACGGACATTTCCAAAAGGAATTACCTCAGAAGGATGGTACTGTAATGTTTCCAAAACTCAATAGTCTTCCTGATATCGTACTGCCACAGCTATTTTCCTCACTGATTAAATGGCAGTGCTACCAATGCAGGCAGCTGTATCTGAGTCTGGGAGACCATTCTCCTCACTCACACCTGGCTAAAACAGGCCAGTTGAATTAAATGCAGAGTGCTCATTCTTTGGGGAGTGTTTCAGTCTACACTTCTATACCGTGAAGCCAGATGTCCAAGTTAGGTGAGATGAATGCCATCTCTACTATTTCGTTGCCCTTTGGTGACTGCTGTGCATGTGCCCATTTCAAGTCATGACCCAGCCACCCTGCTCCTTTTGAAGATATTTGAGACCAAACAGAAGTAGCCTATATCAGAAAAGTAATGAACGAAAGGGCATCAAAGCAGTGGAGAAGAGGTGCCTGTAGCAACTGAAACTCTTACCCCATTTCATGATGGATTACCTCCTGCAGCTGGGAGAAGATGGCAGCAGACCTTGTGAGCACTCTGACTCTGTTTTCAGTCCAAATGAACAGCAGGTCTAGTATTTCTTGTACTGTTTAGGCTACCCTGACTGTCCCTGTTTCCTCCTCCTTGGGACCCCTCTCTGACAGCCTTTTTGCTCATCTCCATCCATCAGGCCTTATGATACCTGCCTGAAAAGCTGCCTTGCTCCAGCAACCCTAGCCCAGAAACCAAGCCCTTTGTGGGTGACAAAGTTGTGTTTTGCCCTGCCTCTCCCCCTGCATGGCACTCACCACAGTGCACCCCACCAGCGAGGAGTCAGTGGCTGTCACGTGCCAGCAGTGCTGGATGCACCCTGGGAACCCCATGGGAGCTCAGTCCAGTGTGGTGCCCTGCAGTGCTCCAAGCTGCAGCCCCAGGAGAGCAAGTGCTACGGCAGCCAGAACTCAAGGATATATGGATGTAGCTGTATTAATTCATGTCCAGAATGCCTAATTCTGGGCTGACTGCTTTGCTATAGCATAGACATGGACACAGCGACACAGATGCTGTTAAAAATATCCCCTGTTGTTCAATCTCATATTTTGCTTTCTTGTAACACAAAACCTAGGATCCCTCTGAGCAACTGTGTACATTTGGTTCTGTAAATGCTTTAAAAGTATATTAAAACATTGTTCTTAGCCCAAGCCCCTGTGTGCGAGGTTTCTGACTGGAACACAATTTAATGGGTGACTCAGTAGATACATTGTATAATGGTATGACATTCTGATAACCAGTGATTTACAGCTACAATACTTAGCACTGTCTTGCTTTGGAAAGTCTTTTTATTGCTTATTTGTGTAACATATGGATACTTGGAATTTAAGAGTATTTTCATAGAATAGTGTTCTAATAGCTGGAAAAAAAACCCAAACAAGCAGATATGTAATGGAGACAGGTAATCAAACTTTAAGTTACTCCTTTAAAATGCTGTTAAGAATGTGTGAGAGTATATTGTATTGCTTTCAAACTGAATTTGAATAAATCATATCTGGCCTCTGTGCCAAGCAGTACAAACTCTCCTCAAGAGGGTCCTTCGCTGCTGTGCACTGGGGAGGTGCACAGAGGTGAAGAGGAATCAGACTAATACAGTCAAATATGTTTATTTCCCTTTAAACAAAGAAGTGCACAGCTGTAGTGAGAGTATTCTGGGTTTTAGGTAGTCTGAGTGTTTTAGTTTTATTTGTCCTAATGGGTAGTGATGGTAATTAATGCTGCAGCTTTCTGTCTATTAGCTATTAACCAATAACCAAGGAGAGCTTTAACAGAGAAATGAAAAGTGCATGTGATGAGGGGCTGCTGGATCAGCTGAGAAGAGTGGTGTGCCAATTACATTACTGCATGATTGCAAGGTCCTGTGTAGGCAGATGGACCTTAGGGACTTCTTTGACAGGACTGGAACATTAACAGTATTTATAATACACCAATATATCCTGCAAAACATCATAAACACCAGTTCTAACTCCTTCTTGTTAAAGGAGAATAAATAAAATAATGTATTCTCTGTGAAATTATTCTGGCATCCTTTGAAGTGCTTTCATTACATATCGCAGCTGAGGTGTTTACAAGAGTTACATGACTTTTAGCAAGATTTGCAAGAGAGGAGAATATGACTGACTGTATTCCTATTGACCGCTTTTGCCTCTGAGCAGGTAGCCAGAATTTAAGGCCATTGCAGGTTGCTTTCATGAGGAAGGAATATTAACAATAAAGGAGATTTTTTTCTTGGGTGCTCTTCTGAGATCCATAAGGAACTTTCCTCAGCTTTTGTGTTCATCAGTGCGGTGAGAACAAGGAGAAGGAGGCAGCTTCCTTTCTCACAGATGGAGTTTCTTGCCAGGCTGTATTCTGCCAAAAAAGGGTTCATTCTTGGCCAGCTTCCCAGAGCCTCAAAGGAGCTGCTTGCTTAGGTGGTTAACTGGCTTTGGGGGCTTTCTGGTAGTTGTATCACACTTTCCCTTGCTCCATAGCCACCAACCTGTGCAGTGCAATGCTGGCTGTCTCCGGGCTCTCAAGAAGAGGAGTATTTGTTTATTCCTTTGTTTAGAAGTCAGGCACACCAGCCTAAGCAATGGCTGCACTAGAAAGGACCAGATATTTCCTCCCAGCCTGCCCTGCTCATAAATTAAACTCCACTACCTTCAGTCGCCTGGCCACCCATAGACTCAGAGCTCATGGCATTTTACTCTCCTTCACAGTGTGAAGGTGCTGTGGGAATCCTTTGATTTGGCTGTGCAGCATGTTTTGCAAGACTCAACAAGGACAGAGCCTCTGCCTCAAAGACTTTGCAACAAAACATATTTGACTTCAGCAGAAGATAAAACCCCTAGACAGGGTTTCTATCTCAAAGTTAACAGTCAGTTATCAAGCATGGAGCTGGTGGAAGATTTGCATCTGTTTCATCTTGCAGTTTTATTTTACTTGTTTCTGTAAGAATAAACACTCCATAAAACTTACTAGTTCTGCAATTTTCCCAGCTACGGCTAATGTACACTGAATTGTTGGTTACAGTGTTCATGTTTTATTTGTACATGCGTGCATCCAGTTCTCATCTTTTACCGGCCTAAGAAAAACTCTCTTTTGATTGTAGGAAGATATTTCCACTACATCAATTAGCCACAGATGAAACATGTTGCATTTGTAGCTAACCAAAGCAAAGACTGACTTTTGCTGTAGTTTGATTAATATAAATTTAACTTATCTCAATGCATTGTTGTGCTTAAAATTTTTATGCTAACCTTTTCAGATTCATTCTCAAATTAATGTGATATGGATCTAAGTACTAATCACACACATCCTTCATGCTTTGCCAGTGGTATTCTTACTTCTTTAACTTACTGCATAGAAAGTTACTAAATTCCTTGGAAGAGTCATGAGCTGTCTGCTTGGCCACTACCTTAAAAGACGGGTATATTATGTCGTTTTTGAAGCCAAAAGAGACAGTTCACATGGAGGGTGAAAGGAAAGAAGGAAATGTTGAGGAAATGAAGTAAATGAAGTTTAGGTATGTCGTTCTCAGGCAGTGTGCTTTCTATATGTGCTTGCTTTGAGCTACAGATAAAAGCTCCTGCAAAGACTGATGGTTAAAATGAAAGGTGTCTGTAGTCATCTCCCTTTCAGTTTGGTAGTATGAAGTGTTGAAAGCATTAAGATGACAGGTTTGAGAAAGTACCATGGATTTTGTTGCAGAACTCACTAGTCATGCTCTGCTCCCTCCAGCTACTGGGCTGCAGTGCAAGACCATTCCCAGAGCCCCAGTGATGGAAAATTGGGGTGACTTTGGCACTGGTGGGAGTGGGACCGGCCTGTGTGCAACGTGCAGACACCCCAGGTTGCTCCTACTGGAGCCATCAGGGAAACGTGGAGCTCTCGATTGACCCCTTGACCTACAGCTCCTCTGAGGAGATCCCCATGGGGGAGCATGTGGCTGGCCCAGCCCAAACATGGGACACAGCAGATTTTATCAAATCTGGGGAAAAGGGAAAAAGGCCAGCTGCCAGCTGAGGGCTGCATTCAGCCTGGGTGAGGGAACAAGGCAAGAAACACATTGACCCACACCTGTGAAAAACAGTCCAAGGATAATTTTAGAACCTTAATGAACACATTTGCCAGCAGAAAAAGGAGAAAATACTTCTTCCTCTTTTTTTTTTAATTTTTTTTTGACCTTTTCAAATGACTATACAACCCTTTTTGGGCATACTTTGTAAGAACTGTTCAGACATGGTGTGGAAAAAATATGTGACTGCTCTGCCCTGTGTGGTGAGCAGAAAAATGTATCACCAAAAATAAAAATCAGTCCTTCAAGTTAATCCTGTCAGAATCCTATGTCCTTACCTATCAATAATCCTGTATTTTCATGAGCATCAAGCTGCACTGCAAGTGTTGAAACAGAAATAAGTGCACATTTTCGGGCAATTGCTTTGGGAATGTTCTTCAACAACAGAAGGTGGTACACTGGATGGCTAACAAGCTTTTCTGGTCCAGAGGGGCAATCTAGATGGACATAGAACATGCAGCCATCTACCTACTGGACTGCCAAAATATCTTTTTAAAGAGGCAAGTAAATCCTAAAGGCATCTCTTACAGCCCAAGCAGTCATCTTGGAAAACTTCTGCAGAAGTTAAGAGGAAGGAGTATTTTCCTGTGGCCACAGATGACAACTGTCGCTTTGCCATCACTGCTGTGACCTCAGATTTCTGAGGAGCACATGGTGGTCCCCAGGGAGCAGTGGATCTATGTCAGCACAGCAACACTCTCCTGCTTCTCCTGGTTCTCTTGGGTGCTGGTGTCATGGAAGCCCATGTGAAGGACCTCATTTCCCCCTCTGAGGAGGCAGATGGATATGAGATCCTCTCAGAAGAGGAACAACATTGTCCAACACCATTTGACTCTCTGGTAGTGGACACAACACGCTTCCCTCCAACATCTGCCCACCACTTCCCAGCATCTCGAAGCCACAGTCTCTTGTCAAGGTCTACATCTGCAACCTCATCTGAACTGCAGGTGGGAGCACTTCCCAACTTCACCGGCTACATTTAGCTCCATGTGTCACTTTGTTATTTGGACAGAATAAAGTAAAGCTGTTTTCTCACAAAGAGATGAAGTCAGTATTCTTGGCATCATACTGAAAAAATCTCCACTGCCAACAGCACTTGCCTTTCCTGAAGGAGTGAGTTCAGAGCTGGGTGCAGTTTAAAGAGTAAGTGACTCTGGCTCAGATGGGAGAGCTGGACAAACCTTAGAAAATCTTGATCAAAAGTAAAATAAATCATCCAGACTGAAGCTCAAAGTTGTCTTCTTCACAGTCTTTATTGTACATCTAGAACAAATTTCTTGTTTCACTTCTAAAAAACATCAGATTACCAACTTTTGAAGGGGATTTTTTAAATTATGTGGTACTTTTTGGAGTGTTGTTTTATTTTTTTTCTATTTTGAGAGGTCTGTTTGTTCCATTCATCTCATTTATAAAAGTTTAAAATCCCTGTCATTGTTATGTGCTGAACAAACCCAGTAAGAGCTGGGAATTTTTGTTCCACTTTGCTTTCTTAAAGCCTAGCAGTAACATTTGTCTTTGCCTGCTTAAATGCAAAATGCTGGTCAAGTGTGTGACAAGATCTCATTTGTTTAACAGGTAAGCTGCAAGGTGCTGCAATTCTTTCATCAGTACATGTTGGGCTGCAACTACTTCTGGATGCTCTGTGAAGGCATTTATCTTCACACGCTGATCGTGGTGGCGGTGTTTGCTGAAGAGCAGTGTTTGCACTGGTATTATCTCCTGGGCTGGGGTACGTATGTTGTAATTTGTAGCAAGATGGTCAATTCTTTCAGATGCTTGAAGTCCTCTAGCACTTACACACCTGAATTGTTGTATTTATACCACTAGGTCATAGCTTAAGATTGAGTTCTTGTGTCCTAAATTTGAAAGCATTTATCTGGATGGGCCTGGAGACTTACAAAAATCAGCAGAAGTCAGTATCCATTATTTACTGCATCTTGGGATTTGATGAAAGAAATACTAAAGTTATGTTAAGCAAAGCTTTTGGAGAGAAATAGATTTCTGTCCAAACACATCTCTTTTCTGAACAGAAGTTTTCCATTTTTGTCACTTTCTATGCAAAAATATTAACCTGTGGCAGTACCTATAAAAGTATATTTTCTCTGGAATTAAGGAGAGGAAAAATCAGTATCTATGTCTCCCAAAGTGAAAAAACACAGAATGCAGAAAGAGGAACTAGAATTTCTCTGGAAGTGAATCCAATATCAGATATATTTTGTCAGATGTTGTTTTAATGGAGAAGATTCAATTTTACCTACACAGGAGTAGATAACGGCTCTGTTGTCAGGGCTGATTTTGTCCAACAACAGTAATCTCTAAATCATTTCGGAGAAACATACAGGTGTCAATAAGAAAATCTCAATAATATTCTATGAGAGAGGTTACAAACACGTACACTATGGATGCAGATTCCGTGCAGTCACACGCATACTGCCCATGGAACCATGACGAGGTCTGGTCCTTCATCTCCAAATACGCAATTTTTTTTCTGTTTTCACTAAGGGATCCCTTGCTTTTTAGTGGCAACAGCGGATATTTATCCTTTGGACTGTCAGCTCCCATAAAAGGCTGACATGCGACCAATATATTACAGTGGAGTGCAGTTTCTTTGACATTTAAATCACTATTGTAAATCCAGTCCACACAAATGTTGACAGAAAATCATTATCAAGAGCTTTTTCCCAGTTTGGAAACCATGAATCTCTGTCCTCATTCCATTTTCTGATGAGCCAGTCCCCATGTCTTGAAACCACTGGTGCAGCTAAGCAGCAAATTATGAACCATTATCCATCATCTCACTGCATGAAGGGATGTTCACTTGTATTCATCTCTTGCAATCCCAATCTGAAGCAGATAGAATTAACACTGTATTTTTCTCTTTGGAGAGGTTACACCTGTTCAACATTATTTCATTTACTGCAGGAAAATTAAAAATAGCCCTGCTGCTTAAACAGAGAAAAATTAGGACTGAATTAGATCAGAGAAAAATGACCCAGTTCTGAATGTTCTGAAGAACTTTAAAACTGACTTCATGCACTATTTAGGCAACAGTATCGGGGCCTAAATAGGCAGTAACAGCAAAGTGGAAAGTTGCTCTTCCCCTATTTGTATTTTCATTCAAGAGCCTGGTGACTTACTTTTCTCTTACGGTATAACACTTAGTGCTCTCTGGATACCTACGTTAGCTACCTAGAAAATTAACATGATTTTCTAGTTTGTATGTATTGTAGTGCAAGATAACAATTTCCAAGCATGTAAGAACTCATCTTCTATTTTTTAACGAAAATGCCATCATGTCCTCTTTTATCATATGATAATGACATATTTTCTGAGAATTTATTGGAATTTCTTGGACTTAAGTCTGTGGAACATCAGCAGCTCTTAAATGAAGACAACCTTCTTGAAGAACCCTGAGGTTTCTGGACTTCATTGATTCAAGTAGCTGAGCCCTCTTGAAGCAAGCAACTGTGCTATCACAAAGTTTTCATAGTTCAGACTATTTGAATATACCAAGTCTGACAGGGCTCTGCTTTTGAAATGGCAGTCCTATGTAAAGAGTAATTTTAAACATTTCCTTCCAGATAAAGCTTTTTCCATTTTCATGTCTTTCAGCATAAGCCTTCCCAGAATTCCATATCCAGTTATGGAAGAGGAAAATGGTCATAAACGTTTTTCTGGGTGGTGACTTTCAATTTAGACAGCGCATTTTAATGCAGCTGGGACAGCTAGCCTGCAGTGAAAGCTTCTGAGCTAACTGTAATATTGCATAGAACAGCACTAGCATGATGGTGGATAATTCAGTTGAATTATCATGGTGAAGTTGACTGATAAGATACTCATCAGTATCTGCAGCACTGCCCAAAAACTAAATCAGGTGGTGTCTGTGGTAATAGGATGAAGACATCTTGAGAAGGAAAAGGTTAATACAACTGGACAAAACTCCTGACTATGAAGTCTGCAGCCTTTTTAATGAAACTAGATGAATACTTTCACAAAAAAAAAGTAATCATTAGCACCTCCTAACTAAGGTATAAATCATTAATAGCAAAATGATCTAATTAGAACTATCTGGCCACCCCTTAAGTTTTCATAAATCAGTGTAATTCCACCAATTCCCAGAGTCTGACCTTAAACATCCAGCTATGTTAATCAATGGAGAGAGATACATTTCTCCAAAGGCCAATGCAGAGCAACCAGAGCAGGTTGTGCTCTGAATTAAAATTCAAAAGATCAAGGTAAATGTACAACACAAGATGAAGTTACTCATTATTCATTGTTTTAACTTATCCCTGTGCAAGAAGTTTTATATTCTTTTCTCTGGAAAAATCACTGATGACATTTTAAAAATAGCTTTATAAGAAAAATAAAAATCTAAACAAATATAAAACACATCTACAAAAGGCTTGAAATGATTGAATGGAATCTGACATGGACAGATGTATTTCAAGGCTGATGCCTTCAGGTGACCCCCTTCTCTGGGAACTGTTGCTGGGGATGTCATTTCTCATTTGTTGTTGTTTCACTGGGTCAGGAAATCACCCTTATGCAGGGCAAGAAAATAGTATCAAATGTGCATCCAGCTACAGTCCACTCTGGCTGCTTCAAGCAGCTTTATCCACATAAAAGTGAGAAGAAAAACATTTATTTGGACAGTGCTGAAACTGAGTGTCTTCCAAATTCAGCTGGAAATACAATTAAACATAACTGCCAATTTGTGCCATAAAGGACCTGGCATGACCTGAAGGGATATATCATACCTTTTCCTGGGATGGCTGGGGTAAGACCTTTTCTGTGTTACTGCTCACCACGTGTTGATGAGACCCCTGGTGTGATACACGTTGTGCCACCAAGACCAAACAAGCCTTGGTGCTCCACTTCTCATTCACTCTCTGCCTTTTGGCCTTTTACAAGAGAAGAGCAACATCTAGACCTAGAAGAGCCTATCCAGCCTGCAGCTGGAAATTTGAGCTGTAGAAAGTCATGAGCTTCTTACTCTGTAACTGACTAATGAAAACTTTCCGTCCCGTTCTTAAGATTTGCTTGTGAATGTGTTGAGCCAAATATTCTAGGCTAATGCATTTAGCAGAAGAAAAAAGGTCCCTTGCTATCATGTGGAACACTCTACTCGCAGTACTCCAGGCCAGAGCTTTCATATGAAGAATTTTTTTGGTATTTTTGGAAAGGCCCCTTAAAAGTTGCACTTCAATCTGTCTGTCAACAAAACTGGCCCAAACTTGCTCCACTTCTAAGTCAAAAGGATTTTCTCAAGCTGTCAATCCCATAAGCTCTCCCTGAGGTTGGAAGCTCCTTTCTTTCTGTTCTGAGCTTTTGCTGTTGAGCGGTTGTTCTACCCTAAAAAGGCATTCTGCAGCCAGAGGCCAAGTAATCCTTTTCTAACGAAATATAAAGAAGGCGGCAATCCAGTTTGTTCTCCCACATCTGTACTGTCCTCCCAAGGTAAACTGCAGTAAGAACTTTTTTTGATAGTAGAGTAAGTAGCAGTTGCTTAAAGGTACCTGGATACATCAACATGTCCTATTTACATACTTTTTTGACCTTATTCTCACTCCAGCATTGTCTGGCCTGTGCTCAGAATTTGGCTAGGGATTCTCTGTCTCTTCTAAAAGTGTTTATCAAATCTCTGACACTTGAATAAACAATCCACTCAAATGTGAATTTATGGTACCCGCAGCTCCACTCCCTACTGAGATAAAGTTCCATGGGGTGGGCTTGGCTGCACAGAGGATGGGAACTTGCAGAAGGTATCCCAAATCCTTATCCCAAAAAAACCTCCTGACTCCAAACATTTTCTCTTGCCATAGGCTCCAAAGGAGCAACTCCTTGCTCTGCTGTTCGTTGCTCCATAATCTGGCATGCAAGTTAATGTGCCTCTCTTGCTCAACAGTGATTTACATCGTTTTCATAAATGACCCTGGTTTCCCGAGGGAATACTCCACTGAGAACCAACTGATCTCTGCCTCCTCCCCACACTGCCTGCTCACACCCTTTCCTGCACAAGCTGCTGCAGCTTTGTCACTCCCAGGAGAGCGTGGCCCGTGAGCTTTGCTCCTCCTTTTGACCTGCCTTGAGTGTTACTCCCTTTTGCATCTCACCATCGAGGTAATGCTGGAGCCCTGTGTGCGATTGGATTGCATTTCTTTCCTAAAAGCTGTGATTTCACATACATGTGTTTTGTGGACAAGAGACTTATTAGTATGTGCGACACATGAAATTCAAGCTAAAAAATTACCAAGACTGATCTATAACTTTAATAATTTCAGGGTTCCCTTTAGTGCCAGCATCTATTCATGCTGTTGCAAGAGCCAAATACTTCAATGACAAGTGAGTAACATGTCTGTTTTTGAAAGATCTTAGCATAATTTAACTGTGTAACATGTTTTATTTGAGTTAATAATAAATTTTACTGGTTTATTTCACCTCTAGCTGCTGGATGAGTGTTGACACGCACTTGCTTTATATTGTTCATGGACCTGTAATGGCAGCTTTATTGGTAAGAATGTTATTTGCTGTCAACAGTTTAATGTTAATTTTAGAAATGCTGCTAACCTGTATGGAATATAAGTTTTTGTACTTTAAGTATTCTGGTCAAAACACAGAAGTAGCTAGATGTTTTCTCCACTCAGTGTTAAGAGCAGAGATTCTCAATACCTTTCAAAAACAAGTCCTGAAAAAGAATCAGATTTTGAGGCGAACAGAATCACCAATAGCTTTTGGAAATCAAGGTGGTCACTCTCCCCCAGCATAACTTGTTTGTGACAAATGTCCTGCATTTATGTGACATTGATGATGCATTTAGATACACCTTAGCTGGGGTGAGCTGAGTGTAGTCTGGTTGCTCAGCAGGAGTTTTACTTGCCACTGAACAGGTATGGTCCAAAGGTAAGGAGCTAAACTTGTCCAGCTTGGGAGGACAAGATTCAAAGTGCAGCTCGGCAATGTGTATACATATAGCATGTTATACACCAGTGGTGCCATTTGGCATGGTAATGCTTACCTTCCTGAAAGGTGCAGAAAGGGTTCTGTTCAACCCAAACTCTCCTCAGTGTGTCACCCAAGATGCACTTTCAGCTCTTGAGCTGCCTCTTAGCTTGCAAACACTTGCATAGATGTACCTGCAGTCATCACCTCAGAGATCAAACAGAAGGGTGGTGAGTACTGGGAACACCTTTGAATAAAGAAACAACCCTCAGTCTAATAACTGCAAAACTTGAAAATCTTTCTACACTTTCTTGAGAAGCAGTCCTGCACACCAGTGATGTGAAGAAGCCCATTCCTCTCTGCCATATATAATCTGCTGTTCCCATAGAATCACATCTACTGTGGTTCAGTCTTGATTGATTCAGCTGTTGTAATGCCAACTAACTTCTAGGGGAGGTCAAAGGCCATTTAACCTTTATTTTTATCGTCATGCTCCAAGTCTGAATGTCTTAGCCACACAGAAAAAAAGGAGGGACTGGTTTTTTGTGGAAAAAGAGCAATCTTTAACTGCTTCCGAAATAAGGCATTATAATTTCTGGTTCGTGCTTATGTCATTTCCAGTCTTATTTTTGACAATGTCTACAGAATGTCCTGCATGATTTGCTACAAAAATCTCATAGTGACACACTGATTCAGAAGAGTTGAGGATTTTTACCTTTGTAAAGTCTTTTTTCCACTTTTCACAGTTACTTCCAGAAATTCTAAAAGTGAAGGTTAAGCAGAGTGAGTGAAGTCAGAGGAGGATGGTGAATAAGATTTAGATTTAATGTTGAATGGGATCTCAGAAGTCATTTTTTATTCTTTTTTTTCCAGTAAGTCACAAATGTAAAACAGTTGAAAGATCAGATTACTGATCCATGTTTTATTGTTCTGAAAGATTCAACTGACATTTCTCATGTATCTATGGAATTTGAGCTATTAAAATATCTATGTAAGTTATGCAACTTACATAATATCAGGCACCTATGCTTTGGAACTTAAATGGACTTTTTTTCAGATTATTTTTTAAAAGAGATATGTAAGATATGCAACTTACATACCTCTTTTCAAAAATAATCTGAAAAAAAGTCCATTTAAGTTCCAAAGCATAGGTGCCTGATATTACTGTACCAGAGTGGAAGTGATCTGGGTACAATGGAGTGAGAGATTTGTGATACCTAGGATGCCCGCAGGGTACCCATTGGGCTCATCATCAGCCTGGGCCTGCCCTCTCCATTCCTCCTCAGGCTCCCAACGCATCCCACAAGGACCTCTGTGAAGCCAGGGTCAAGGGCAGGTTTCTGTATGCTGAGCACCCACAGCTGGAATCACATTTCCAGAAAAGGTTGAGGAGATCAGATGCTGAGCCGCTTGATATAGCTGACCATAAAGATCAGACACTTGCTGAAGTGTCTGGCATTTCTGCCCCGAGCCAGCACATGTTAACTTGTACCTGTGGGTAGTGTAGCACTGGGTCCATGCAGTCTGGTGGAGGCAAGGGGTAGCCTAGGTTTTTCTCAAGGGCAGCCTTGCTCACCTGCTCATACACAAGCCTGAAGTATTGGCGCCTGTAATCTAGAGCACATTCCTCAGAGAAATTGTTTACCCCTATAGGTCCCATACGCCCAGGGACATCCTGGAGTTTGTCTCACCTGACTGCAGACATTATCAGTACGGACTGAAGCAAGATATCTAGGTGACCTTCAGACTCAGAGTCTTGGTTACTCCTGCAGGAAAATGCATCCACCTCGTTTAAACTTCAGACATAAAAACGAGATTAATTGTTTCCTGGAAATCCTAGATTTCCCACATCAGCATCAAAACACCCAGTGCTTCCTGGAACTGATCCCTGTCTGAAACATCCATTCAGGCTTCCTAAGGGAAGCATGTAGAGCAGCTTAACATCTCTTTTCTGAAGGCATTCAAGGTATTCTCCAGGTCCTGATTCCCATGGAACTGCCCATGATGAGCTATGATAAAGCTAGAAAGTTAAATATTACTGCCATTTATGTGTTCTGTATTTTTAATTTGAATGCTTTCACCTACAGTTACTTTGCTTTTGCAGGTCAATTTTTTCTTTTTGCTTAACATTGTCCGAGTTTTGGTGACAAAGCTAAGAGACACCCACCGTGCTGAATCCAACATGTATATGAAGGCTGTCAGAGCCACTTTAATCCTGGTGCCCTTGCTAGGAATTCAGTTTGTTATTATTCCTTGGAGACCAGAAAACCGACTTGCTGGAGAAATATATGATTACATCATGCATATATTAATGCATTACCAGGTATGTTATATAGTAGCAACATCAGCTTAGGTGAGGTGCTTGTTCTTAAGTTATTTAGCCAAAGATGCTGTTGCCAGTTGTTTTGCCCTGAAACTGAGCGTGACCATGGTTTTGCAGTTCTTTTCCAACCACTTTCACATTGTTGGATTATCTGCCCCGGCACAAATAGCATCGTTGCATAAAGAACAACCACAAGATAGGAGAAACAATGAGAAAAAGTAGCAAAAATGATCAGATGACATTATTTCTAAACTAAGGAGAGAAAATTGAGATCAGAAAGGGCTTCTATGTTCAAAGCACTGTTTCTGTGGAAGTGTTCAGATTTATTGATTGATTATTGAAACTAGTGCTGTGAGGTTAATATTAAAACTAGCTGTATATGCATGCTGTAGTACAGAGAGAATGCCAAGACACAGAAGAGATGACTAAGACAGTAAGGCTTCATTTAGGATTTAGAACTCCATTATTAGGCAGTTTAAAATAAAATACAACACTGGCATTTTTATTTATATATGCTTTGAAATTACAGCATCATTGCTTAAGTCTGATTTGCTTTCTTTTAAAAAGAAAACAAAACAAACCTTGGTTATCTGGTTTACTGACTGTAATATGTCCAGTCCTATATTGACTTGGAAAGGCAGATTTCTAATGCATTTGTTAGTAGCAGTCGACATAGGTGAGCAGAGTGACCAACTTCTTGTTTCCTTTCATACAGAAGCTCAATCTAGAAATTGTTTTATTGTTGTCATAAGAAAACAGTTTAAAAAATTGCTGGTGCTTTTTTCCTTAAATGATGTGATAAATAATGCTACAAAAATCTATGTGTGCTGTCATCTTAGATTATATTTTCTGCTTATCACCCTTATCCCTTCAAAACTGTGGGTGTGCATGCTACTGCGTGCATAGAATAACTGAAGCTATATGTCTATTTTTGCAGTGTATGCCATTTTATATTACAGTTCTGCTTAAAAGAAATGAGAGTCTGTTTCTTCCACTGTTACCTGCATTGTCATTTCATCAGTCTCAAGGGCTATAAGGGAATATCTCCAAATAAGTTTTCTTGTGACAAGTTGCTTACACTTTTAGCAAGTTATAGTAAGATGGAGTGTTACAATGATCATTTTACTCTTAAAACATCTTTCAAATCCTGTGAGGTGGTTGGAGAATTACAACAGGAATGTTACTTATCCTAATTCACATGCCTAGTTGTGATCAGAAAGTCACCAACTGAAGTTAAAATGGAACTAGAAACAAAACCAAAGTATTGTGAAACTGTTGTACCAATGGACGGGATTAGGAAAGGGATGGATCTGAGGAGGCAAAGTTTCGTCTCTGATGGATTCCTTCTGCCCTTGTCCCAGTCACCAGGAATGGTTGTCTCACCATGGCTTATTGACCCCTATCATCCCCTGCCAATACATTTTGTCTTGTTTCAGCAGTGGGGATGGTGCTAGAGTCACCATCATGGGTATGTGTTGGGGGCTGCCTGTGCACCACTGCCACTGTGCCTAGAGACTGCCACCGGTCATGCCAAGCAGTGACCGCCCACTCAGGGCTGTTCCAGTCAGGACAGCAATGCAGATCTCACCAAAGAGCTCTGGACACCTCTATAACGTAATCTCAGTGTGCTTCCCACCAGCATGGGAAATTTGGCCTTTTAGGAGGGCTATGCAGTTATCCTGCTAACTGCAGCTGACAGTGATGTCCCCTTTTCTACTTAGGGAGGATTTTTAATTGTATTTTAAAATAAACTTTCTTAATCCTTTCCCAAATATTTCTCATATGCCTATTTAAGATAGCCAGCTATATAATCACTCCTCTGGTGCTCATTTTCTTCTAGGACTGATGATGTAATTAGGAGGTGTTGTATTAGCTTATGCAAGAGCTGTATTTCCCCGCTAGCTATTGCTCATAAGCCACAGCACAGCCTGCCTCTCCATAAACTAGCAGCAGTCTCTGCATCCACTGGCATGTCAATCATATACAAGCAGGCATAATGGGTGCAATTATGAATTTATTTATTTTTGTGGAAAATACAATACATTCTGCATTTCTGTACTGGTTAAATGATAAAATTTGTATGCCTTTTCTAGAACAGAGACAGTTTTCAACAGCACATCACTGCTTTAAGTGAGCATGATGGTTTGATATATTAGTTACATTGTCCACGTACACAGAAATGGTGCAAACAAGCACTGCAATCTGCTGTAAAAATCAGGATTGAAGATGATCAATGAGAAAGAATTTGTTCCCACAAGAAACTAGGTAATGGAATTTCTTTCAGAGGACAGTTTTCCCAATCTATGCAGCTTTATTCAGAACAAAATTAACCCATTTAAAAGTAGCCTCTTACAAATAGTAAGGTATTTCAACACATTTTAGAAGGTATTCATTCAATCTGTTTCTCCATTTAAAGGAAAAAGAATATCCTCTGTGATGTCAAACCAGACAGGAACATTTTCTCCTGTGCAGTTAAGGTCAAATGCTTTTGACAACATAAGTGTCCTTTTTATTTCCTGTTCTTTTTTTTTTTTTCCTTTGCAATATTAGTAATTTCAAAACTTTCTTGAAAGCTGGTTTTTTGAAAAACTGGCTATTATAAAGTGCCATTTTTGTATGAAGAATATACATACAAAAAGACAGTGATGAAACGTCCAGCAAAGAGCAGGAGAAGCAGCAGATTGTGAGATTTGACTGATAGGACCTCCCCATCATTTTGCAGCAAGTGTACTGCAGTCTTCAGCCTTCTCCTGACAATCTCCCTACCTCAGCAGCAGCAGAAACTGCACAGACACATGCTTTGCTTAGCTTATTTTTTTAACATCACGTAAATGCACGTTGTAATGCAGCCATTTACCTCAGAGATGCGGTATGAATGTGCTGTGAATGAAGATGATGAGGAACACAGTACTGTTTTTCTCAAAGCTCTTTTATCTTTGCTGAAATGAAAGAGATAGGAATGGGAAGTACTGCTATGAAGAACCTTGGACACACTTTTTTAAATTTTGTTGTCCATTCAGATCCAGAAGTGAGAAGTGAATGGACATGGATGAAAGCCCACACAGAGAATCACAAACTGATTTTTTAATGTTATGATCATCTTTACAATTGCATGTGCCATCATCTTCTGCCATCAATAATGAATATATCATCCCACTAAAACTTAAATGACAACACAGTGTGTAATTAGGGCAGAAATTAAGGCCATGGGCATGCTCAGGAATAGCAGGAATAAGCATAGCGATGTATGCTTTCTTGGTTTTATGGAGACATAAGCTAGAAGAAAATCATAGTCCTGCTTTAGAGGCGTAAGTTTTTGGTTGACTTTGTGGTGTTTCTCAAACCAGAGCTTATGTACAAACTATTGTACATTGCATATTGTATACCGGGATTTGAGTTTTTTGAGAAAACTCAGTTTTTCCAAAACATTAAAAGAAACTTCTTCTCACTGTCTACCCTTCCTCCTCCTTGCATATGCTTTTCTGTGTTCATATTTGAAGTCATATCAAATTACAAATTCTGCATTAGAGAAAATTTATTGAAGTAAAATAATTGCCAAAATTTGGGCAATCAGCACCTCTTCAAACCAGCCTGTGTATGACTAATATATAAGTATTTTGTTAAAACAGTTATTGCTTACCCTACATTTGTGGTCCAAAATATACACTTGAGAGTCCAAGACATTTTATAAAGAAGTGTTAGCTACTAGTTAACTGGTAATCAGTTAAATGAGGGTTTATAAAAAGGATACAGCTGTAAAGCTATTCAGATCAGCCCTTGGGAACACAAACTATTGTATTACAGTTTTCCCCTCAATTTCACAAACTGTCTTACGTTTAGTTTATAATAACTGCTCTAAGCAATTTAAAATGAAGGCATTTGGCTCCCAGTGATGCTATGTAATGCTATTTTAGTAAGAGCGAGTGCAGCTCGGACATGTTTCTGAATGGCAGGCTCTTGTGTGCAAGAATTTCCTCTTACTAATATCACACTTTCTCACCTCATGTTCCTGCCTTGGCCCTGATGAATCTTGTAGCAGTAGTTAAATATTATCTGAACAACTGTGGCAATAATTAAATTAATTGTAAACCATTTAAGACCAAGGTATGATTTGCAATTTCTCCTTTTTTTCTGTCCCCCTGCCTTCAAATTCACCAGTCATGTTTGTTTTTTCCTTTGTCTGACCACTGATACCTCTTCTCACATCCTCTTCATCCATCGTGATGCCCCACATAAAATTTCACTTATCCTGACACAGAATTCACTTTAAAGCCTTCCTGGGGTAGCTGGATTCTCCTCAGCCAGCACTTTTAACTGGGTAACTGCACTCTGACAAACGAGTGGCAGTGGGTAGGACACAACTCCTCTGCCATCTGTTTAGCAAAGTCAGTGGCAGTGTGGTACTCCACTGTAAGCAAAATATTTATCATCTACCTTACATACTGTTTCATTTTCCTTCTCTAAGCCTCTTGTACAAAAATAACTTCATAGCCAAAATAAATAATCTATAAATGCTAGTATTATAGAAGAAAATGCTAAAACATGTTGAAAAGACAAAAATCTGTGTAAGAAAATAACCGTGAATGAGGGGGAGGTTAGGTGCAGTGCCTGTGATGCAGACAAAGTGGAATAATGTTTTTATCTTGTATCCATTAAGTCCAAATTTCCAAACCACAAAAAAAAAAATCTGATCTCTAAACATTTTTTTTTTCCTTTCTCTTAGGGCTTACTTGTGGCAACTATATTCTGCTTCTTCAATGGTGAGGTAAGCACATGAAATACAGCAAATGAGCAGGACTTGAACAAGAGTCAGTGTGTTGTTCGTTAATGCAGAAATGAAACATGTCACACTGCAAACTTTGAAACTACACAAAGTCGCTTTTTACTCGCTATATACAAACAGCAGTGTGAATCTTTGAAAGCTCTGTGCAGAGCGTGACTTGAATTTCTCATAGCAGCTGAAACAGAAGTGTTACCATTAGAAAGCAGATGGCGCCAAATGTGGTACAGGCATGAGACTCTCCCCCTACCATCTGCAATTCTGAGACAGAGGTCTAAGTAAAGGAGAAAAATGTTCTACTTCCTTCCTGCCTCACAATAGCAGCATGCATCACTTGGAAGGACCACAGTGCCCCATAAGAAGCAGTGGGGATCTTCAGTGGTCTGTCAGGGAGAGCTGTGTGCTGCCTTCAGTCCCAGAGTCATGGCAGAGATGTTGTCCCCTGTAGTGCTGTCAGAGCAGAGGAGCCTGGAGGAGTGTGATTACTTTCACTCCTTTGAGGATTAGCGCTGGCCTTTTTAAGATCAGTGTTTCTCATGTAGTAATTGAGAAATAAAAACCCTCAAGGCAAAGATCTCTCTTATTCTCTTACAGGTGGATCAATATTTTATATACCTACGGCTGGTTTTAGGTCAACTTCACTACTTCTTTTTTTTCAACAAGAAAATACCTGCCTCAAATATTTGAAAAACCATTTAAATTCTTACAGTAAGCCATTTGTTGTAGCTGGGCTTGCACAAATGGGGCAGAACTCTAGGATTGATAAAAATCGGGAGGCCTCCCATCCCTCTAGGGTGAAATCGGTGTGCTCAGCTCGCTCCCTGAAATGCCTGTACACTAATGCGCGCAGCATGGGGAATAAGCAGGAGGAGTTAGAAACCTCTGGAAATTATGATCTGGTGGCAATTATGGAGTCATGGTGGGACAGCTCACATGACTGGA